GTGCTTCTCACAAGGGAGCTACAGATGGGTTAAAGAGGAAAATTTTGCCCTAATATGAAAAAAATAAGTGAAGAAAAATCATGCACTTGCTAAAAGCTAATGCCAATGTTAATAATTAAAGGGACACCTTTCATATAATTCACCTATCCAATTTTTTATGTATATATATCCTCCTATTGTTTTTCCCTTAATGTCTTTCAGCAGGTTTAGAGGAAGTATACCTTGTTAGAATGCCAGAAAATATTTTGTCCTGTTGTCTGCCATGGACTTGGTCCTGAAAGCAACCCTTAAGAGTGGCACCAAAGATAAGAAAGCATCTTGATGAAACATATTTTTTAAATTCCTCTCTTATAACCACAAGGAGCTTTTAAACAGATACCTGAAAAATAAGCAATGTCCTCTTATTTGCCCAGGAGAAATTAACTTCTGGAGTAACATCTGAATTCAATACACAGAGCAAATTCCCCCAATCACATATCTCCTGGGGGATTGAAAAAAATACATGTATACATTGATGCATTTCTGAACCTTGATATGGCAAGCAAAGCAGAACAAAAATCATCTGTCAGTTCACAGTAGTGCTGATTCCCATATGCCACTCTTTCTCCAGAAGAGAATTACTGTTTTAGTATGATGAGCTCACATCCTATCTTCCATACTCAGCAGGCAAAACAAAAGAAATCCATCTATGTAACATGAAAGAGCTAACCCTGATCCCTGCGTTCAGCCCCACAAAATGGACTTGGTGTGGGGGAATTCAGCAGAGACCAGAGGAAAACAGATATCCTTGGGCTACCAAACAACAGTAGCAGCAACTGTGGCTGCTGTTTAAACTTTCATCGAAACCTCTGACAGCTACAAATTGTTCTAAGCCATTGCCTGTCTGTGGCTCTGCACATCCACAAACTCTCTGCCTCTTGGATAACTCTAGTTCTTCCATGAACTATTTCATCATACTTTTGCAGAAGATTTATTCAGTAATGTAGCATAGATTCCCGTTTATGCAGTGTGCTTGCTGTTCCTATGTAAGCGGTAAAACCATTTCTACTGTCTGTATTCAAAGCTTATCAAAGCCTGGGAATATAGGCAGACCTTCGTCCATGGAGCACCTGGATAAAGCACGATGACCTAAGGTTTTATTTTACATGATGCACCCTTGTCATGCTAGACTATGAGGGAAGAATCATTTAAAATTGTGTTTCTAGTATCTGAGGCAGCTGCTGTCTGACAAGTAGAAGGAAAGGTACTTGACCTGAAAAAAGCTCCATCAATAATATTTCTTTAGCAGGGCAAGGTTTTGTGTCAGTATGAGCTCTTAAAAAACAGCTTGGAATATCCAGGGGCATCCACTGGTCACCATTTTTTCTTTCTGTTGAGGCCAGAATAAGCCACTCTTCCTAAAAACTTTTTCCAGATGAGTCAAGAGAGGCTTGTTTTTCACATCTCAGATTTTTATCATTCAGTTCTCCATTTTCTTAGGATATTTTTTTTCCATGAAGACAATTAATCGTTTTTGCTGCAGCGGAGCATGTATAGTTTTACGTTTCAGGCTAATACATTTCTGTGACATTTTACTGTTATACAACAAATGATGTTAAAAAAAAGCTGTCAGCATATGACCATCCTGCACATAGGTAGTAGGCATTCATAAGTCATACATCACCATGCTTACTTATAAGACTATCTGAACTATCTTAACTAAAACAGACTGGAGGCATATTCTGAATCTTTGAACACCAACACACTTCCATTTAAGTGATATGGATGAGATGCACAAAAGCCGTTTCACAGTGTTCTGTCAACGTTAAGGATTTTAATATGCATATATGTATGTTATGCCCATCTGAAGACTGTTAAGTGGTCTTTAGGTGCCACTGTAATATAATTAATAATAGATATTTACCAACTTCTGAAGTTACACCACTATGTGAGCTTCTCGGTTTGCTTCATCAGAGAAGCACTCTAACCCTTCCTAGTCTTCGACGTGGAGCAATCCACCTGTGAAGCTGGCAGGCAAGCAAAGTACTCTCAAGTCATTTCTAATAGTTTGTGTTCATGATTCTCAAGCCAGTCGCATGACTTTGGAGCAAGTGAGGCATACACAGTAAATGCAGCTCTGAGTAGCACCACTCATTAACCTCACTCACCATTAACCATTAAATGGCAGTAGCAAAATCTGGCTGTACTTCCTTAACTTTTGCAGTTTTACTTGGAGTAATACAAAAGCAGACCCAACAAATAGGACTTTTTATCTTAAAGGCAAGATCACTGACGAGTAGAAACCACTACCAGCCACCCACACACTGCCCAGAATCATTTGCTGGAGTTTAGCTCTGACAACCAGCCACAAAACTCCTCTGCTCACAGCTTCTCTCCTTCCAGAAAACCTCCTCACCACCTGCTCAGCCCAAAGCCATTCTGCCTTTTACAAAGGTACTGCTTGCAATGAGCCCCCTGCATCAGTGAGTCAGCAAAACCTCTTAATTATTTCCTCAGAGGTCTAGGACAAGACTCTCTGTATTGGTGTGGAAACATCATAAATGTGTTGCAGCTCTGAAAGCTCTCTTTTAGTGATTCAAATTATAAATTTGCCTTCCACATCTGCCTACAGGCATGGGGAGCGACAAGTACATTTTTACTTTTACCTGCTCATTCTGAAACATCTTTGCATGTCTGCTTAGTGCAGAGCATGGACTTGGTATTCCCTCTGTGTACAAATGAGATGGAAATAGTCGGGAAAAAAAGAAGGCCTGGAGAGAAACGCCACTCCACTGCTATAGCACACCAGCTGCAGCAGCCAAAATACCATGAACCACCAGGAGTCCTACTCCCCAGAAGCAAGAGGAAAGGGAGATAAAATACCACTGCTTGAGTCGTGTTTATTTCCTAAAACAAAGCTGTACACAACAACACAAGGCCACGTTTACAGGGACAAGATAGCCTGTACAGGCATTATACACATCACAAAAGAATGGAAATGCTATCCCATATCAATAGCTCCTGTAGACCTTTTCCAGGTTACTGTCTCGTTGACATCAATGTGAGCTTGCCTGAGAAAAGGCTGCAAGCTTAGATCCATAAATAGGATCTCAAAATAACACATTTCACCATGGAGACAATTGTTCACACTAATCCTGTTCTTTTTAAGATACTATCAAAAAAATGCACACAATCCTTCAGGGATTAAAGAAACCACATGTCCCCATGACGACACAGTGCAGAAGAGCTCAGTTCTTACCTGGATCCCAGTCCCACACTCTGGAGCCAAATCCAGGATTTGCTGTTACTAGAGAGAAGGCTATTCCCAGTGCCATGCCAGTGTTCTGTTTCATTGAAAGACATCCTCAAAACAAACAAAAGCAAGGCCCTAAATATCCACATCTTTGGGGGCTTTTCATTTGGCTGTTTTGGCTTTTTTTGTTTTTTTTTCCTGCTCTCATGCCTGCTAGAACCTTTTTCCAGTTCCTCAGGCCTGTACGTGCACATTTGCTGATCACTTGCTGCAGCCAAACTTCCTCAATCAGAGGAAAGAAAATTCCAAGTCCTTGTCATTACTGATGATTTTATTTTTCCTCTGCTAATTTGGTGACCTAAAGAGAACCAGGTCTGACTTGTTTTCAGTGCCACACATACTACCCAACCTCAGTAAGGGCTCTTTCTGATCTAAGCCCGTTGATGCTTTGAGTGGGATCTCTAAGAGATCACAGCAGTTGCTGCCTTGGAAGCATTTACATGCGCTTCCAGCACTCCTCACTTCTTTCAGTCTACTGGCTCCACTGGTTGCACCACTGCTGAAATGTATAAAACCCTTGTGTATAAAACCCTGTGAACAGTATTCCCCCATCAATTACTCTCTCCCTTACCCCAACATATCTTTGGAAGCTCTCCGCTCTCTTTCAAATGAGAGATTTAGGTGATCTTCCCACCATCACCTCTATTACAGCAGCTTGTCTGCACCTTTCCAACAAGGTGCTTTGCGAGGTACATCTGCTTGGCACAGAAAGGTTTATTCAGTAAAATGAGCCACAGTTCATATTTGGACTTCAGGTCTGACCCAGAAGGAGCTGTATTGCATAACACCCACTCTAGAGGGACCAGTTTGATGAACACAATGAGCATAGTTAACTCAAATTCTACCTAAATCACTTCAAAAATGCTCCTTTTCTACATAATGCACCAATGAGTTAGAACCCACTCTAATAGAGAAATCCAAGAAATTCTAGCTACAGCTGAGAAATAAAAGGCCTGTAGACTGCATGCTCTCCAGCAGGAAGAAGCTCACACTCAACCCTTTTAAAGAAGCTTCCTAAGGACTAACCTGTTGCAGGTGTCTGGCCACTTATCACTTCAAAAATGCTCCTTTTCTACATAATGCACCAATGAGTTAGAACCCACTCTAATAGAGAAATCCAAGAAATTCTAGCTACAGCTGAGAAATAAAAGGCCTGTAGACTGCATGCTCTCCAGCAGGAAGAAGCTCACACTCAACCCTTTTAAAGAAGCTTCCTAAGGACTAACCTGTTGCAGGTGTCTGGCCACTTGCATGATCCAGCAGCACACTGTCACAGCTGATATACTTTGGCGGGGGGAGGGAACATTTTTCACATAAATAAATTAAATGAGGAGGAAAGCACTCATGATAGGCTTTGCTGGAACAACTGTGGGTCGCAAGCCACAGCTCCAGGCCTACAAGGTCCCTAAGGCCCCCCCCCCAGCTCCAACATCCA